TTGAATAGGAAGTCATATACTGGCAATCTAAGTGTGACCTTGAAATTGACCTTTGATCTACTTATTATCATGAACTGAACTCTGCTAATTTCTTTCTCTTTTAACTCCAAACCTGGCAGAGATAGGTCCATAGTTACTATTGAACTTGAATAGGAAGTCATATACTGGCAATTTACTGTGACCTTGAAAATGACCTTTCACCTACCTTACGATGAACTTAAATTTGATTGTACCATTTTTAGTTTCATATATTTTTTGCATATATTGAAAATTCTTGTTGACTGCATGTTTACAGCTTGTCAAGCACAAGACTGGTGACTGTGTCCCTTATTTTGTGTATGTGGGGGTCTATACGAATGCGCTTGCTCCAGCTGGTGGTACAATATTCGGAGGCGGTATCGCCTCTCTGATCCTCTAGTGAGTTTGCAATTTCGACAGATATTTATTACAGCGCCGAGTGCTACGTGCTTGGTGTAAGTCAACTGAAATAGATGTCCGTCTGACACATTTAGAACTTTTTTGTTGTTTAAATTGTAGCATCATACAGTATTACATCGTTAAAAAGACAGTAAAAATTCGCGTTGATTAATAAACATTTAATCATAATCTTTCTCTTTTCAGCCATAGAGCAGGAAAAGAACGCGTAACAAGTTTGTGTTACTAAAGACAATGGCAAAGGCGCTGTTTTATTGGCATTCTCATGAAACAATATCACAAACAATGGACCAAAATTCAGTGACCTTTAAAGCTTCAAGCTACAACGTGTTGGTCTCTTAGCAACATTCCTTTCGCTTCTAGACATTCTGTAACTTCTGGGAACGAAAAATGATCACTATGGAAACGTGATGCGTCACTAAGGAACCTAATGCTTTCATTCAATATGGGAACGTGATCTTACACAATGGAAACAACGACTGTCACCACGGAAACAAGCACTTTAAGGTTGAAAACGAGGCTTTCAAAAGGTCAAGGTTAATTTTGAATGATTCAAATTCGAATCATTTCAGATAGTAGATTTTGTCATTCATTCAGAAATTTCCCTGACTGGTCGGGTTATTCAACATCCACGTGATGTGGTTTTATTCCACCAGTAAACACCCGTGTTGGTTAATTGAAAAACTGACTGCTCTTGTGAAGATATGTAGAACGGCTCTCTAATTTATCAGACGACTTTGGATTTCCCGCAGTTTTGGAAACCAGTTTGTAAACCCCGAACCGAGACCACCGTGCAATGTATGCTTGTAGATCGCTAACAGTTGATATAGTTATAGTAGTTTTTGTTGTAGTATCGTTATTTACTTATTATGCAAATCTAACCACTGTGCTCAAGATTATACTTAGTGATGTGATCGTTTAAGTACTAAATCCATGACCAATTTTGGAACCCATGAAATACTTATGAAAACCTGCCCGTTTTGAATTAATGTCCATCTTTGTTAATTTTTGTGAAGATCATGAAATGTCAGCCGTCACTAAATTGGTACTATTGAATGTTAATTCAGTTTTATTTTGAAACTCAGATTGCTTTTGATGGCCAATTTATCCAGGAAAGAAATGTTTTTGTTATTTCTTTGCAACTGATTTACAGATTCTTCACTGTTTGAGAAACACCAATATGCGAGATTTGACATTCATTTTGTGACATTTTGATAAATTTTGCATACAACTAAGTGTCCTTAAACAAAGTTGATATTAAGTTCTTGTTTATTTTGACGTAGATTAATGTAATGTTTGTTAAAAAAAGTATTATAACTATCATTGGATAAATATTGATATTTACTCTAAAGGAAGAGCCATGAATTCATTCTAACAACTTTCACGTAAATTCCAGTTTTTGATTTAGGCGGTCTTAAGTTTTTTAATTGGCATAATTTACAGTGATATATATAATATATCAGGCAAAATAGCTGAAAGTCATTACTTGTGTAGAAATTATAACGGATTTACTTTTGACTTCGATCACTTTCTGGCAGAGATTACACAGTTCGACGAATTGCAGGATGAAATAAAAAAAGTTTCGAAACTCGTACTTCCTTTTTGTGTGTCTTTTATCAACTTTTTGGGAAAAATTGGGATATGAATGAACGTATGATATTGCAAGAGATACTATTCCCTACTCTTGGCATTTTCAATTTATACGCTTCTTGCAATCTGACTTGGATGTAATTCTAATAGAAGGGAATTTTTTACAAAACGGTCTTTATTCACTATTTATCAAAAAAAAAAAAAAGAAATAGCTGAGAAGTTTGAGCCGACTTCTAAGTATAGAAACAATTTCAATTAACCCTTAAGCAGTCTGTCTCACAAATTATTTGTATTTCCCCCGATTGTAACAATAGCCATTGAAAAAAGACGTGTTGACTTTATAAATAAAACGACTTTCAAGTAGCCAGTTAACCAGTTGTCGAAATGGAAGCTAAGCCGAAAAGCCTTCACATTTTTAAGGGACAGACCCAGCACTTACCTGGTGGCTTAAAGGGGATACAACGCGCATGTCCAGCAGGCATTACTTAAGAACTTTAAAAATTCTATATTATTTTCATTTTCACATTTATAGAAAATTCTTTCTGATCGAAAAATTACTGAAGCCGGCCAATCGGATCCCCAGTCAAAAATATACAAAGAAGAATTAGAAATAAGTAAAATGTTACAGCACTCGTGGTCCCCAAAGGTAAAGAAATCTTGCAACAGAATTCTTGAGTAAAATTTGCAAGTCAAATTACAATACTAATTTTCTTAAAGAATGCACTTTGAACTGCGATCTCTTGCACACCATGAAAATACATCGGAGGAATTTTAATAGTGATTTTATATGCAGTGAAGGCTCATTTAACATCACAGAAATAACCGTGTGTACGCGATTATATAAAAGTACAAGCGCTTCACAGTAATAGAAATCATGATAAAGAACATCACGCACAGAAGGGGCGCTCCTTTGCACTTAAATCAATTAGTTATTTCGTGATAGTTATGGTCAAAAAACCGAATTTTAATGTTAATTTAATATATATATATATATATATATATATATATATATATATATATATATATATATATATATATAGCAGGGGCGGATAGAGGCCGTCTTTTGGGTAAGAAGCTTTTCAGAAACGAAGCCCCTTTTAAATTGCCGACCACATTCCTGGGGTTCCTCATGAGTTTTCTATCAGATATGGCATTAAAAAGAACCAATAAACATGGGCAATTGCTCATGACTGTCTGACAATACCTGCCCTAAATGCACGACCGGGTTTTCACCTGTATTTCACCGTGTGATTAAGGGTGCATTCCACATGGAACTATCGTTCTACTTTCATGTGCATTTCGTTTCGAGTGCCACCGAACGCACACAACGAAGTTAATCACCCCCTAGCTGCTAGAGGAGGCGTGTCATCCAGTGAATCTGATTGCATTCAACGAGAGTCCCCGCGGAGTTGGATCGATCTACGTACATTTATCGTAGACCGATTGTTTTATTGGGAACACCCCCTAAGTTCTTTCTCATGTCGCTGTCTATCTTATCTACCACCGGAACTTCGTTACAAGATGTCATTTGTGATAAACTTTCGGTAGGGATCAGGAACTCCCGAATACGTAGACTAGAGCGGGGTGGACTGTCACATGCCGTGGTGAAGGCATCAAAGATGGGGCCGTGAAAAGGGCAAAGCTCTTTATGGCGGGAAATAGCTATGATTAGTTCACTCATCTTGCGTGAAAATGAAAATGAAATTATCCCAGTGATATTTTCAGAATCAATGAGGAAGGTACACGGGCATGTGGTCTGGATAAAAAGCGAGAACGCAGTCAGAATCCGTTTAAATGTATTTCGCGCCATGAATTCACGTTTATATATCTTCAGATGAACGTTGAATAATATTGGATGTAGAGAAAGTCAAAATCTCTCTGAAACCCACGTTCGGCTGTTGTCTTAATCGGTTAATCAACCTAAATAACACAGAAAACGACTTTAAAAGGATACCACACTTGTCTGCCATAATGGAAAAAGAAAACGGTCAGAATATATAGGTTAGGTACTTATTAAGAAATTTGATAAAAATGTCAAACGTATATGTGCAAGTACGCCATATAGTAAGTAAACTATATAACCGATATCGATCGGGTCTTTTCCATTATGGTAGATAAGTGTGGCGTTCTAAAATAGTTTTCTGCGGTTTTAGGGTTCACTAACCGATGCAGGCGACAGCATAGTACGTTTAAAACGATCGGTATAAAACCCTGTGCATATTACTATCTCCAAGCGCATGCATCAAATGATTTGTTTTACATTATAAATAACACCGTTAAAAGCATAGATCAGTGGGAACGCATCTCTCCTGCAGAAGCATGCTGTAATGTGAGGAGCAAATTTCCTTCCGAAAATTCTCTCTATAGAACGTCCTATAGAACTCTATGGCCGCATTCAGAGCAGTGGACTGACTATTCCGCGGATCAAATATGGCGATCGCGACTTACTAAAAAGCTTGTCGTCTAATCCGCCAATAGACACTGACTAGATTTCCGGTGGGGATGTATTCGAGTGGGTCGGTCATATTTGACCAGAGGACTAGATAGCCCACTGTATGAAATGCGGGCTATGGTACTCCATACGAATTTTCTTACAGGCCTCTATAGGAAGCCTACACCACAGGACTCTATGGGACTCTATAGGAATTCCATCGGACGTCATTTAGGATTCCTACCTATTACAATGTCCTATAGGAATCTATAGGATTTTGGGCCAGTTTCCTATTGGACGGCCTATAGGACCTATGAGGATGTGCATGTACATGTAGTACACCGCTATAAGCAAACTATATAGGCTAACCGATATCGATCGGGTCTTTTCCATTATGGTAGACTGGTGTAGTGTTCTAAAGTAGTTTTCTGCGGTTTTTAGGGTTCATTAACCGATGAAGGCGACAGTAAAGCGCGTTTTAAATAATCGGTATAAAACCCCAACTCATATTGTTATCTCCAAGCGCATGCATTAAATGATTTGTTTTACATTATGAATAACATCGCTACAGACTATACCCTGAGCTTCAAAGGTCAGTAGTTTCATGTAGCAGGGAATTATATCCGATATAATTCCCTGCATGTAGGAACTGGCCTCTCCGCCAGAGGAATGCAAGTTTCCTTCTGAAAATTTTCTAAATGACGTCCTATAGGATTCTATGGGACTCTATAGGATTCGTACGCAACTCTATATGACGTCCTATAGGATTCTATGGGACTCTATAGGATTCGTACGCAACTCTATATGGCGTCCTATAGGATTCTATGATTCTAGTCCTGTAGGACTCTAGGACTCCTTAGCGACTCTATAAGACTCTGTAGGAGTTCTACTGGAAACCGTATAGGATTCTATGGGACTCTTTAGGACTCCTACGTGACTCTATGGGACTCTGTAGGGATTCTATAGGATTCCTACACGACTCGATGGAAATTAGTGGGATATAAGACGTGCTGTAGGACTCTATAGGAATCCTACACGATTGTATGGGACTCAATAGGATTCATATCTAGGACAAATGCCCTGTACGACCCTAAAGTGTTCTGGGCCGATTTCCTATTGGGAGGCCTGTAGGACTCGTGAGGAAATTTCTGTTTCAGTTTCCAGTGATCTATGAAACTGAGGGTGAAGAGGAAGAGGAATAAGTTCAAAGCTATTAATCCCTATAATATCATGGGTGTTGATCTGTCCGAAAGTATCATAACTCAATAAAGAAAAATGATCTGAATATCAAAGGTGAGATGTGTCATTGATTATTCAAGCTTGTCTTAGCGCCCCCGGGTAGTGAGTGTACTGCAATAATATATAGACAATAGTAATGTAATATATGCAATCTGCGGTATAGAAATACGACGTGTCCCACTTTTCCTCCATCATTTTGACACAACAAAGGAAAATTATCATAGCATCAAATGTTGAAATATTCTTATTGTTTGATCTGACATATGCTCTTCAAGGACATGACATGGGTCGCCATAGACAAAAGTACTGGGACATGCAACCAAGCACATATATCCATTTATCAGTGATTGAAACCTGTTTATAGTGATTGAGACCTGTCAAGGGTGATATTCTTCCTTTTAGATAAGTTTACTTCCGTCTGGGAATGTTAAAAGTTTCTCGTCATACACAAACAATTGATAAGAACGAAAGAGAGGACTTTTAAAAGATAGGAATGCAAGATATGTTAGTTATTTGTCATCATCATTCTTTTATCAAAACAGGGACACAAAAGTACCCCGAGTTTGAGAGGCCTTTGGAATGAACTCACCTCTCTACTACCAGTGCGCCTATGCCATTTCAGTCACAGACATGCTGATAGTAGTATTTTCTGACACTCAGGGTGAATAGAAAAGGCATACGCTACAAACCTGTGGCATAGACAAAATTGCGTGAGGAAACTAACGGCGGATTCATTTTGTGATTAATTTTATATTGAGGAAGGCATACTCCAGACCAGTACTTAATTCTGACATAATTACATTTTTTGAAATATTTGATATGAAGTTGGCATTTTAAGTTACATGATATCTCCCTATTGTAGAAACAGTAAAATAATTTTACGAGATACGATCTGTAGGCCTACGATCTAGAGTCGATCTTCACTTGTACTTCTTAAAAGATGACAACAACCTAAACAATATATACAAATTATACACTGCAAATATTATTTATTTAAAAATCAAACAGACTATACATGTAAAATCAAAATCAAATTAAGAAAATAACACATAACCTTGTCTGTTTTTCTTTAATTTTAACAAAAGGGTCCCTATAGCCATCTCTGTTATTTCATTCTGGAGAACACTCCAAAATTAACAAATCCACAAGCTTCATTTTCCCAAAAATATCATTTATGTATATGTTCATAAACATATAACTACGCATAGTGTACAAAAAAAAACAAAAAAACTAGTCCATAATCTTCTAAGTTTCCG